ATAAGCGAAGTGACCAAGGATATTGATGGAAAATTGTATCTTTGTAATCAATTTTTATGGAATTTAATTTATTATATTAAATATCTTGCGTAATTATTGATGCCAGTACGTGACATACGGGATATTCGTCGATTATACTATTATATATATTTTCTGTTTTCTGCAATGCTGCAGCTTAATTGTGAAAGTCAAACACTTTTGACTCCAGTTACAATTTCATGACTAAAAAAACGTGCATCAAGTTCATACAAAGAGTCGAAAAAAAAAATGAAGCAATATAAAAATTCTGCATCAAGATATAAATTTAGACAGCAATCGTGCTAATTCATTGAAGGATACTCGACTGGTCCGCGATAATTAAAGAACTGGAAAGATTAATAAACTCGGACAAGAGATCAAGGTCTATGTACATATATATATAAAGATAGTTAGTGATATCATAGTCGACTCTTGCGTGACTAAAGATGATCGTGATTGAGGTATCGCACGATAGAAAATTGCGCATATATCAGGGACAATATCAACATAAATTGAGAATTGATCGAATGATTTTCTGCTTGCATAAATGTGACCTTGGATCCAGAAGAATAATACGTTAATGGCAGACAAGAATAACATATGGGAGATTTTATATAAGAGTGAATTGATACCTCTCCCATTCAGACTAATCTTTTTGCCGTTGCGGATAAAAAGAACGGTGATTTTCAAAAAAAATATATAAGTAGCGTAATCACGAGTTCGACCTTTGCAGTCACGCGCTATTGTATCGCGGAAATCGCAAAACTACTCGCTCATATTGGAACGGAATCGCGCCGCTGTTCTCTGCTCACGGGTAATTTGCACACAATGTTCTATACACTTTAAAAAAATATCGATGTAAAATTTCATCACACTCACATGATTAATTAATCTGATGAATTTTAACAACTAGAAAAATATCGTTTTGCGCGCGCCACATGTTCCGTAATGTTTTTTTTATTTTTCATTGGATTTTTTTCATTGATTTATAGATTTATTAAATGTTGTTTATTATTTATTTTTATCAATAAAAAAATATTATAATAAGAACGTTTTGTAAAACTTATCTGAAACAATTTTGAATATATCCAAAAGGAAAAGAAGTCTTTGTCAACATAAAAACAAATACTAAAGTTTTTAATTGCTTGCAATTAATATCATAACGCTATTATACTGATAATTCTCTCATACATATATATAATTATTAAAATACACGATGATACGATTTCGGCTCATGAAATAACGAAGGAACCAATCAGTATCGTGGAAAAGAGGCTTTGTTAATATGTCTTCTTTTTATAAAAACTATAAACGCGCGCTGCGCATGCGCTATTTATCTTTTTAAACAGAATCTCACTAATACAGTGTCAAACTTTGATTCTTTCTTTTAATAATGATGTCATTATTGAACTTGCTAAACGAAAGTGCGGATTTTAATTATTTTTTGTTAAATTATTCAAGTATACGGTATAGTGTATCACTCGTGATGAACTTGTGTTATTCAACAGTATGCTTATCAAGGTTAAGTATTACAACGTGAGAAAATTTGTCGGCTTAGATATAACCAACGATTCAATGGAAACGATTCAACCAGTTTTAGATTGAAATAGCTAAGCAAATGTGTAGATTTTGTTGTCAAATTATTCAATTGGTGCGTTGCTTGTGAAATATTGTGTTATCAAAGACGTGCTCTTCAACATGTTCACCAAAGTAAAGTACTAGAATGCGAGTAAGTTTGTCTGCTAAGTACAATCAATGATTTCATTGATAGAGATAAAATTCATAATAAAAATATCATAATATACTAAAAAAATTCATAATAAAAATTCATAAAAATATCATATTTAACATCAAGATCACATCATTTTTCTATGAGAAAATTCACACTGCAACAATTTTTCACACCGATTAAGTGATGTTGATTTCACATTTAATGTAGAGAATTATATAAACACAAT